TTAGAACGACCGTTAAACGGAAATTATTCATTTTCTTTATGCAAAATTTACGATGATTTGCGCTACTGAGCACAAAAAGTGTAAAGCAGCAAACACTCGTGCAGTTAGCGACCTGAGTACTTCAGGTCTGGTGCAAAAAGGCACAGTCGCACGGCAAGCCTGGTGCATTCCAACCTTGGTTTGTTTTGCTACGATATTTTTAGCACTCTAACGTTGAATTTTGGTTTTCTGAGACGAAAGGATTGCTTTTTGCAATTCCAAATTAATTTCGTTGCATCTTCAGCTAAATTTTATATTTTTGGTAAAAATTTTATGCTTAGTTCACTAAATTTCAACCTCACCACCTTTTGGCCAAGTTTTTCTTATCCATTTGCACTTTGTACTCTTCCAGTTGGGTAATTTGGCGCTCGCCACAAGATGTGCGTTTTGTTTAAAATTGACGAGTACGAGTTCAACTTGCCTGAAAGGCACTGAAGTCAGTCAGGGAGGTTTCAACGTGAGTTATGCATTATGTCCAGGAAGACGTATTTGTTAACTTGAGTTGGATGCAGAATTTAATTGAAGGACCGAAAAAGCCCCCAAGTTCTTGGTCACTAAGCATATTAGCCTTTTTACCGAGTCGTAAATTTAGGATAATAATTCTTCCATCAGATGAGATGCGTGTGCGTGCTCTGTCTATAACTGGCTCAGTATAATGAAATTGCAGATGACGATGATTTTGAGGTGGATGTGAAGCAGCTGGATGAAAAGAAACAGATAATCTTGGAAGACGAGCTGGACGATAAACCCGAGGCAATTCACTTATCAGACTTGGCATCTTTAATAAGTGTTGTGAAATTACATTTTAAAACAGTCGAGCCAGTATTGCCAGGAATGGTTTTTAAATTATTTTGAATTAACATCTGGTTTTTAAATTTGGAATTCACAGAAGCCAGCAGATAGGTCATAAATGCAAAAGTGCTTCAGAACGAGACTGTCCCGAGCCCTTAAACTATTACTCAAAAAGCGTTGT